GCTGCCTTCTCACTCATTGGAGGGACGGCGGACGACGTCTGCGCGTCGTACGGCGTGTGGCTGTCTCCGGACGTTGATCGTGCTTGCTGTCTCACTCGTTTGAGGGGCGACGGGCAGAGGCGTCCGCGCGTCGTTATTCAACCATCTCAGTTATCCGATCTCAGTTATTCGACCATCTAATGCGGTTCCCTCAGCCTCCGCTTGCTGACATCGCATGTCCCAACCGACACCAACGACGCCAATGGCGCTGATGATGCGGTGAACTCAATGGACAGCCCACCACCCACCTAAGTGGGTGGCGGCCACCACGAACGCAGATGGGAGAGCGAAAAGAAGAAACGTCACGCATCGTGGGTATATTTGAACGGCAGAGTTTAGGGCAGGTGCACATTTGAGTGGCGTGAGAACTACAGGTGGCATGCGAACAGGCACCAGGCGAGTGCCATTTTTCACGCCACTGGGGATTTGTCGAGCGCCAGGCCGAGCGGCCCGACAATGGTTCGCACGCCACCTGTAGTTTTCACACCACTCAATCCCCCAGTGGCGTGATTGCCTGGCGCTGCCACCCACTCCAGGTAGGCTGTTTCCACGCCACTGATAGTTCTCACGCCACTCAAATGTGCACCTGCCCTAAACTCTGCCATTCAAATATACCCACGACACGTGACGTTTCTTCTTTTCACTCTCCCATCTGCGCTCGTGGTGGCCGTCGCCCACTTAGGTGGGTGGCGGGCTGTCCATTGAGTTCACCGCATCGTCGGCGCCGTTGGCGTCGTCGGTGTCGGTTGGGACATGTGATGTCAGCAAGCGGAGGCTGAGGGAACCGCATTAGATGATCGAATAACTGAGATCGGATAACTGAGATGGTTGAATAATGACGCGCGGACGCCTCTGCCCGTCGCCCCTCAAACGAGTGAGACAGCGAGCATGATCAACGTCCAGAGACAGCCACACACTGTACGACGCGCAGACGTCGTCCGCCGTCCCTCCAACGAGCGAGAAGGCAGCGAGCACTGCAATCACCGACGCCACTCACCATACAATGCTCATGAGCCCCGACACAGCCAGGACTCGCCGCACAAGTCGGCCGTGAGGGGGTTTACAGGCATGAGTACGTCCGTCCATCCTTTCCCGAAAACAACTTGAACACTGAGCACTGCAGCCCGGCCCTCCAAGCCTTCCGGATCGCCAACACGCATCGCTATCTACGCCCATTGTCCCTCGCTTGCATCTCCGGTGATTCAGAGTAGCGGCTCCTC